GGGGCAGCCGGAATTAGGGCTCCGCTGGCGGCAGGAGCCAGCTGCCCCGCGAAATGTACCTGGTTGCTTCCTAGTTTGGGGACGAGGGATGGGCAGGATTGACTCCAGGCAGTTTTTTTGTTTGTTTGTTTGTTTGTTTGTTTTTTGTTGTTTGTTGAGACAGAGTCTCACTTGTTGCCGGCTAGAGTGAGTGCCGTGGCGTCAGCCTGCTCACAGCAACCTCCAACTCCTGGGCTCAAGCGATCCTCCTGCCTCAGCCTCCCAAGTAGCTGGGACTACAGGCATGCGCCACCATGCCCGCCTATTTTTTCTATATATATTTTTAATTGGCCAATTAATTTCTTTTATTTTAGTAGAGACGGGGTCTGCTCTTGCTCAGGCTGGTCTCGAACTCCTGACCTCAGCGATCCTCCCGCCTCGGCCTCCAGAGTGCTAGGGTTACAGGGGTGAGCCCCGGCCCGGCCTCCTCCACGCATCTTGGGAGTGAGCTTTGAGTGCCCTGAGATACTTCATGCCCTTAAGGAACGTAACAGCGGTCTCGTACCACTGGAGTTTAGACTTGGAGGCTTTATGGCCTCAGCTGAATCTTTAGCCACTCTGGGTGCAGCGCTCACCGCCGGGCGCGACGCTGGCCCCAGTCCCCAGAGGTAGTGTGCGCTGGCGCGTTGACGACGCGTCCGTCATTGCTCTCGTGTGACGATGAAGGTTGACAGCGCGCGAGCTTGTTTGGCTTCACGGGCGGCTTTCTTGTCATGCCGATCAGATAGGGAACACAGACATGCATGTTTTCATCACGTTATTTTTAATCGTTCCCAATTTTATTTTGAACATGAAAAATTAGAAGAGTCAATTCAAAATTATAGTTTTATTTCATTCATATCATAAAGAAATAAGGCAAAATTTTGAATATGACGATAAATTTTATTCTTTGGCATGAATAAATTTCGAAGCCTGGGCTATACGAGGCCAAGCATCACGCTGTTTACAATCGTATCCGCACTGCGCCTTTCATTATTTTTTTGAGCATACAGTACGTCTTCTTAACGGATTTGTCCTTTTTGTTTTATCATTATTGTAAGGTGCTGAAAAATGTCTTTCTCTAAAACGCATGAGGCTGGGCAGGGTGGCTCCCGCCCGTCATCCTAGCACTCTGGGACGCCGAGGCCAGCGGATTGCTCAACGTCAGGAGTTCGAAACCAGCCTGAGCGAGACCCCGTCTCTACTATTAAAAATAGAAAGAAATTAATGGCCAACTAATATATATAGAAAAAATTAGCCGGCATGTGGGCGCATGCCTGTGGTCCCAGCTACTCGGGAGGCTCAGGCAGGAGGATCGCTTGAGCCAGGAGTTGGAGGTTGCTGTGAGCTAGGCTGACGCCACGGCACTCACTCTAGCCTGGGCAACAAAGCGAGACTCTGCTTCAAAAAATATAGATAAATAAATAAAATAAAACGCATGAGATTTTCTGACGTGGTGCAAGGGTCGTATCGCCTCGATTGGGACTCCGCCGGTCTGGAACCCTGCTGTGGGGAGTTCAGGTCCATCAAGCCCAACTTTCTAGAACGGCTCTGCCGTGAGCAGAGCCGACACCAGACACTGGCCACCCGTGCGCACAGGAAGACGGTCCAGGCTCACAGCTGTTGCAAAAGATGGATTCCGTTGGGATCTGGGACAGAACACGGAATAGAGGCAAGGGCAAAAGCCCTGCCAGATAGTTCACAGTTGTTGACATTCTGATTTTCAAAAAGAAGACAAGTAATGAGCTGCTCTGAACTTGGCTCAAAGAACCTTCTTTTACTAGACAGCGTTCTAGCATCAGCATCAGCCCCACAATCACTGACTACACAGCATCAAACCTTAGACTGGGCAGTCTGGAAGCTCAGTAGCCAGGATGAACAGGCAGAAATTCACTGCCCCTCAGTCTCCCCAGTGGCAATTAACTCCGGTACCCGGGAGTCAAGGACCGAGCTGAGCTGAGACCTGATACGAAGCATCTGCGGCACTCGGCCGCCACGGGGCTGCCAGGCGAGGTCCCTATTCCAAGGGCGCAGGAGGACGAGACAGCCACGCTTGCTCAGAGCGACAGGCGCAGGGCCCAGATGAGAAGAGGGACACTGGAGTGCTCACATACCACTGCGGCCACAGACGCCAGGGAGGGAGCGGAAGAGGCCGCCAAGAGAGAAAGCAGAGCGAAGAACTCACTTCCTTCCCTGACATGTCACACTCTCCCCAACGGGTCCCGAACAGTCACACCTCTCTTTGTCCAGAAAAGTGGTACAGGTATGTGTGTGTGTTTAACATTGGAAATATATAAAAATATATATAGCATTCTCAAAGTTTTCTATTCAGTAGCTGAGACACTGCTGATAAAGGGAATAATGCTTCTGAAATGACAAAAAAGCAAAATAGAAGTGTTCAGTTGTTCCTACTTTACAACAATTTGCATAGTGAATGTCTAAAAGATAGAGATGACACATTTATTACTACAAATCACCTCTTTTGAAATCTCAAAGAACTGAATTATACATCTATTTTAAAAACAGTCACTTAAATTTTCAAGGAGGAATAAAATTTCTGCTTTTTGACTAAAAATGCCATGTAATCTTACATGGCGCTTATTTCCAGCTTTAAAAAGAACAAAATGAAATCGTTTGAAGTGTGCAAACGGTGACAGTGAGAAATGTGCTCCGTGAGGCTGGAGGTTTCTGCACACCTGCCCTTTCTACCAGGTGCATTTCCACCCCTGACAATGCCTGACGGGCAGCCCAGGAGTGAAGGCAGCTCCGCTCTGCACACGTGGCAGGTGTGTGTCAGTGCTGGTTCACAGAGAGATGCTTCTGTTCCAGCTAAGGAAATGGCAACAAAAAAGAAAGAAGGCATTTTAGCACAACTTCCTCCTATCTGCTTCCTTAAACCAACAGGTTGAAAGGCAAGGACTGGCTAAGCAGTTTCCAGGATTTTCCTAACCAACACCCACCCCACCCCAACCCCCTTTCCCTGTGTCCCGCCACGCGGCAACACCAGACAAGCCCGCTAGACCACAGCAACGGCTCCGACATCCGGGGCCCAAACCAAACCCGTATAAGGCACTAATCTAAAGCCTGTATCACACAGAAAAATGGCTCAAGAATGCTAGACAGTCATCTGATCGCTTCTTTCTCCCTGACTTCGCTAATTGGCACTAGACACAGGAAACAAAAATAAAACAAAGGCTAACACTAATACGGTCAGAATTCAGAATCCTTGGTTCAGAAATACGAGAAAGATGGAAGCTCAGACAATCTTAGGTATTTTTCTCTCCCTAAAAGGCACCTGGTTCTGGAACTATGGGAGTTCATCAGGTAAGTTCATGTTCAAATTAAACGCGAAATGCCATCCACAAGATCTGCTAACCTCTTATACTATGACGTAACAACTTAAGAGAATAAGACCAGTAAGACAATTATTCTTAAGCAAATAATCTATAATACTGTGAAGATTATGTGGGCCATAAATGAATAACGGGATGGTTTTTTTTCCATGATGTGATCCAAGATCATGGTTGGATATCTGGGGGAGAGCCCGAATACCCAGTAAGAGGAAGTATGACATTCTCAATGCAATTAAGTAGGGACACCAAGTGAACCTCAGGCCCCTTTACATGGAAATTTCATTCCAGTCCTTTAACAAAGAAGTAGCTAGCTGAGCGTGGTGGCGCATGCCTGTTAGTCCCAGCTCCTCAGGAGGCTGAGGCAGAAGGATCACTTGAGCCCAGGAGTTCGAGACCAGCCTGGGGAATACAGTGAGACCCCATCTCAAAAAAAATAAAAATAAATAAATAGCAATAATAAAGAATACAAAGGTAGCAATACTGCAGGATAGCAGGTGCCTGAAAAGTGAAGAGTCTTAGATTCTAAAGTAGGAAGCTGTGAACATCTTCAATCCAAAGATGCTCCAACTATTGTGCTTAGCAACACCAGCATGTCATAAGAAGCCAATTTCCATATACCTTCTCATTTTAAATTATATCCTTAGGAAAAATAGGGCATTTTATTGAATGGAAAAGGAACACTGAAGTGAGTAAGAATTAACCAGATGTGAGTGAGGAGTTGGCCAGAAACTCCTACACCATCACGGACGGCCGGACGGCCGGACGGCCATGCCCTTCCGCTTCAGACTGGATTTGGGCGTGGTCTGGGTTCAGCTGTTTAGGTCTGCTTTACGACGAGGCCACACAGAGCGGAACAGATCAAATCAGGCCAACCATCTGATCAATCTGTCGCATGTAGATACTCTTTAAGGGTAGAGAGTATCTCCTCTCATCAGGAACACGATTGCACTAGAAGACAAAAATGAGGGAAAGTGTGAATTTTGAATTAAAACCCCACGTGTTGATCTCACAGGAAATACGGTTGGATGACTTGATCTAGGGTTTCTCAGCCTGGGCACCGCTGACACTTGGGGGCAGACACCCGTTGCGGGAGCTGTCCTGGCACTGCAGGGAGGTCAGCGGGACCCTTGGCCTCTCCCACTCGGTGACAGTGGCAGCTCCTGCCCTTCAGCTGTGACCATCAGACATGTCTCCAGCCACTGCCCAGTGTGCCCTGAGGAACAAAATCACTCCCAGTTGAAAACCACTGAGCTGATATGCTCACCCTACAGGTAACGAAAAAGGAGATCCAGGGAGGCTAAAAGACATAACAGCAAGAGCTTAGCCCGGGCCAGGACTCAGAGCTGCAGCCCACGGCTCCTTAATCCACCCAGAATTCCAGAAAATATTTTAGCTAGTTGAAAACACTGTGTTTTTCTGAGTTATGTTCTTCACTTTGTTGCCCAGGCTAGAGTGCCGTGCCGTCAGCCTCGCTCACAGCAACCTCAAACTCCTGGGCTCAAGTGATCCTCCTGCCTCAGCCTCCCGAGTAGCTGGGGCTACAGGCATGCGCCACCATGCCCGGCTAATTTTTTCTATATATTTTTAGTTGACCAATTAATTTCTTTCTATTTATAGTAGAGACATGGTCTCGCTCTTACTCAGGCTGGTCTCAAACTCCTGACCTTGAGTGATCCCCCCGCCTTCGCCTCCCCAGAGTGCTAGGATTACAGGTGAGCCACCTCACCCGGCTCTCCCCTCCTTCTCGATTACGCTGTCACCTAATCAACACTCCGAGGCCTGTCGGGGGTACGGGGCCTGTCTACTGTCTGGCCTGTCAATGTAGCCCAGAGCCTGATGCTGCCGACCCCCCCGGCACCAGGGGAAGGGGAAGCGCAGCCTGTGACGAAAGGGCGCCCCCAGCCATGGCCAGCGGCCTGTGGGGAGGTAGCCGAACTCTGACAACCAAGGCACTGTAGGACAGCAACACTAGAGAGTGACTGGGTCCTCATGTCCCTGTCCTCACTCCCAAACCATGCTACTTGATTCAGATCAGCACAACTACCTGAGACTTCCACTAGGGACACAGGACTTCATTTCCAAACCTGCCCCACTGCCCGCCAGGACAATCTAAGCGTGCCAAGTGAAGCCCGACCTTAAATGAAAGCGAGTGCTTGCTGCGCATGGGAGGATTGTCGTCAAAAGACACAGTGACTCTGACTGCTTCCATTCCCTCTACAAGCCACTGGTGGGTTCCGCCAGCAGCCCCTTGGCCCTCTGGCTTCCAGTGGGGGCTGCCAAGGACAAGCTCCAGCAGATGAGACAGGGCCGAGGACAGACAGGGTCACTGGAGCCAGATCTGAGCAGTGGCTCCTACCACCCCCTCCCTTGGGACTCCCTCCGTCCAGGTTCCTCTGACCTCTCTCTGCCGGCCTCTGCGGCCAGGAGTGACAGGGCCGCCACTGCCTCTGCGGTTCGCCTACACCCTGACAGCTCGGAAGCTCTTCAAATCCCCCCACCCGACTGTGCCATCAATTTGCGGTCAGGAATTCTGAGCAACAAAGGAACTGGGGGCACTTTCTCTTCCTCCACACACAAACCACCCCCGGAACTCACGTTGGAGCTGGAGTTGATGACTTTTAGCTCGTGAGACTTGGGCCTGTGCACAGACTTGCCCTCTTGGTCCTCCCAGAAGAATTCTTTCCAGGGTGACTCCCGAAGATGCTTGTCCACAGACACGACGTGGCCCTCTGTCGTAAACACGTATCTGGTTCCAGATTTGTGCACCGGATTCTCCTCGTCAAACAGCTAGAGGGAAAGAAAGAAAGAAGAGGCACCGTCAGTAATTGGAACAGCCTGGAACTGACTCACAGGCGTGTGTCCCAGCCGCTCGGGGAACAGAACTTGCTCGGGTCTCACGCTTTTCCCTGACGACCAGATGAAAAGGCATCGAGTAACAACCGCAGCTCCCAGCCCAGGCTGCAGGACAGAACCGCCGGCGTGCCTGGAGCTGCCCCGCCCACACACACACCCAGACCTACAGACTCAGAGACTCCGGGGCTGACACCAAGTGCAGAGAGTCTACGCAAGCTCACTGGCTGATGCCCATAAGCGAACCTATGAGTTCTCAGGCTGGAATTCTAGAACTATCCCCGCTGGCACACACACCTAGAACCTGTGGGAGGCATGAGGGAGAGGAGGCTCACATCTTTTTTGTCACCCGATCCCAGGGCCAGCACAGAGGCCAACAAGCCTGCCGACACCAGCTCATCTCTGGCGTCAGAACTCGGGCTGGGCTCTGAGGATGCAGCAGCCCCGGGGCCGTCCCTGCCCTCACCCACGGACATGGCGGGATAAAAGAGGGTGAGGCAGGTGCCTAGAAAAAAGCCCTAACCCAGAATCGGGCGAGGCAGAGCAGAAGGCAGGCGTGTGGTGAGCGCTGAGTGGATGGACACTTAGAAATCCTCAGAGACGGAAGAAACCGTATGTGGTCACCTAACTACTTCGCAGACGAGGGACACGGAGACTCTGTGCAGCTTGTCAGAATTTACACAGTAGCAGGAGGAGAACGGGGTGGGCCCCGGGTTTTCACCCCAGCTCTGCGTTCTTCGCCCGCACACACCCTGCGGTGTCTCCTTCCTTCACTTCAGAACTTGCCCTGTCACTGTCCTTCTGACACCGGTGCCTGCTGGGCGGGGACACTTGGCCAGGCTCTGACGGGTCTCTTCAGCCGGCCTGAGCCGAGTGAGGACCACGGCGCACCCGAGGATCTGGCGGCGGGACAGCTGCCCTCCACTGGCAGGACCTCATGGGCTGCGGGTGGATACCCCTTTTTTGTGAAAAGAGGCTTCAGACACAAAGGAGTCGTCTCAAAGGACTAGACCCATAGCTCCAAAACCTGGCTTGTATGGAATCACGGGAGCTACTTGTCAAAATTACAGATTCCTGAGACCACTTACTCTAAAGACTCGAACTCAAGGGCCCCAGGGTGGCTCTGACCCGCCCAGCCCCAGGCCGGGGAACCACAGAACTGAGCGACGCAACTTACCACAGCTGCTGTCCCTGAACCTCGGCCCCGGTTCTGGTTCTCAGTCCACACTGTTTCCTAACCAGAAAACCCCAGCCCCTGGCCTTTGGAAGCCTGCTCTTTCAGGAAGCCACACACAAAAAAGCAAGTAGAAGGCCGGGCGTGGTGGCTCACGCCTGCAATCCTAGCACTCTGGTAGGCTGAGGCAGGACGATCACTCAAGATCAGGAGTTTGAAACCAGCCTGAGCAAGAGCGAGACCCCATCTCTACTATAAATAGAAAGAAATTAATTGGCCAACTAAGCAGGGTGCTCCGCCTTCATCCTAGCACTCTGGGACGCCGAGCAGCGGGTTGGCTCGAAGCGTCAGGAGTTCGGAACCACCTGAGCGAGACCCGTCCTGCTACTTTTAGAAAATAGAAAGAAATTATTGGGCCAACTAAATATATAGAAAAATTAGCCGGCATGGTGGGCCGGCATGCCTGTGGTCCCAGCTACTCGGAGGCTCAGGCATGGAGGGATCGCTCTGAGCCAGGAGTGGGAGGTTGCTTGAGCTAGGCTGACGCACGGCACTCCCTCTAGCCTGGAACAACGAGACTCATGGCCTCAAAATAGTAGAAAATAATTAAATAAAGCGCATGGAGGATTTTCTCTGACTTGGGTGCAAGGGTCGGATCGCCGTCGATTGGGGAGCAGGTCGTCGAAGTCTTGTCACTACGCCTGAGAGTCGGAGGCGGCGCGCGGTCCCTGTGGCGCCACCTGGTCAAGGCTGGCCACTGGTGGTTGGAGGAGCGCGAGTGCAAGGGGGCTCGCTGCCTTGGTGGCTTACAAGAAACGTCTCGATGTCACCAGGAAAGGCGTGTTCCTGCACAGAGTCCCGAATAGCCCTTGAGGATGGAAGGAGACTCACGGTAGCCCTGAGCTACGCGACCCCTCAGCCTCGCCCCTCCCCCTCAGCCTCGCCCCCTCCCCCTCAGCCTCGCCCCTCCCCCTCAGCCTCGCCCTCCCTCGGCTGCCCCTCCCCTCAGCCTCGGCCCCTTCCGCCCCTCAGGCTTCGCCCCTCCCCCTAGCCTCGCCCCCCTCAGCCTGCCCCTCCCTCAGCTCGCCCCTTCCCCTCAGCCTGCCCTTCGCCTCAGCTCGCCCTCCCCTCGGCCTCGCCCCTCCCCCTCAGCCGCCCTCCCGCCCTCAGCTCGCCCTCGCCCCTAGCTCGCCCCTCCCCTCAAGCCTCGCCTCGCCCCTAGCCTCGCCCCTCCCCCTCCAGGCCTCGCCCCTCCCCCCTCAGGCCTGCCCTTTCGGCCCCCTCAGCTCGCCCCTTCGGCCCCCTCACAAAACCGACCCTTCCTTCACTATGCTCGCCCTCCCCCTCAGCCCTCGCCCCTCCCCCCGGCCTCGGCCCCTCGCCCCCTCAGCTCCCCCTTCGCCCCCTCACAAACGTCACCTTGCTCACTCAGCTCGCCCCCTCCCTCCGCCTCCACACCCCAGGGCCTCCCACATCTGCAACAGGCGCGCTGGTCGGGCGTGCGCGCGCCGGGGGCGGGCCTGCGCCTGCGCGGACCTGGCCGGAGCCGCCGGATTTCCGCGCGTCGCGCGCCCGAGGTGGCGCTCTTGCGGCGCTGCTCTCCTCTGGAGAAAGCGCAGGCTGCGTCCTGCCTGGGGGTGAGGCCGCGGAGGGGCGGTCCTCTGTCCTCTTGTGCCCTGGAGACCGGCCACTGCGGCTGTCAGGGCGGAGCCGCGGAGGGAGGCGGTTCCTCTGTCCTCTGTGCCCCGGAGTCCGGGCCACCGCGTCGTCAGGGCGGAGCCTGCGGACGGAGGCCGGTCCTCTGTCCTCTGTGCCCGGAACCAGCCCACTGAGCTGTCAGGGGGGAGGCCGGCCGGAGGTCCCTCGAGAGGCCAGAGATGTGCTCCGCCAGGTGTGGCGTCGGAACCTTCTAGAAACTGTTCGAGATAGCCCCAATGTGGAAACCTCCCTTGAAAGGCTCTGTGTTGGGCCAGCGCCGTGGTCTGTGTTGTGAGACGGGGTCTCGCTCTTGCTCAGGCTGGTCTCGAACTCCTGACCTCCAGCGATCCTCCCGCCTCGGCCTCCCAGAGTGCTAGGGTTACAGGGGTGAGGCCCCGGCTCGGCCTCCTCCAGGCATTTGGGAGTGAGCTTTTGAGTGCCCTGAGATACTTCATGTCCTAAGGAGGTAACAGCGGTCTGTACCCACTGGAGTGTAGACTTGGAGGCTTTATGGCCTCAGCTGAATCTTTAGCCACTTGGGTGCAGCGCTCACCGGCCGGGCGCGACGCCTCGCCCGCAGTCCCCAAGGTAGTGTGCGCTGCGCGTTGACGACGCGACCGTCTTGCTCTCGTGTGACGAGGAAGGCTTGACAGCGCCGCGAGCCTGTTTGGCTTCACGGGCGGCTTTCCTTGTCATGCCGATCAGAATAGGGAACACAGACATGCATGTTTTCATCACGTTATTTTTAAATGTTCCCAATTTTATTTTGATACATGAAAAATTAGAAGAGTCAATTCAAAATTATAGTTTTATTTCATTCATATCATAAAGAAATAAGGCAAAATTTTGAATATGACGATAAATTTTATTCTTTGGGCATGATAAATTTCGAAGCCTGGGCTATACGAGGCCAGCATCACGCTGTTTACAATCGTATCCAGCACTGCGTCTTTCGTTATTTTTTGAGCATACAGTACGTCTTCCTAACGGAGTTGTCCTTTTTGTTTTATCATTATTGTAAGGTGCTGAAAAATGTCTTTCTCTAAAACGCATGAGGCTGGGCAGGGGCAGGGTTGGCCTTCCCCGCCCCGTCATCCCTAGCCTCTGGGACGCCCGAGGCGAGCGGATTGCTCAACGTCAGGAGTTCGAAACCAGCCCCTGAGCGAGACCCTCCTCTCTACCTATTAAAAAATAGAAAGAAATTAATTTGGCCACTAATATATATAGAAAAACTAGCCGGGCAGGTGGCGCATGCCCTGTAGTCCCAGCCCTTACTCGGGAGGCCTGAGGCAAGGAGGATCGCTTGACCCCAGGAGTTGGAGGGTTGCTGGTGAGCGAGGCTGGACGCCACGGCCACTCAGCTTCATAGCCTGGGCCAACAAAGCAGAGGACCCTTCTGTCTCAAAAATATAGATAAATAATAAAATACAACACGCATGAGCGAATTTTCTGACGTCGGTTGCAACAGGGTCGTAATCCCTCGATTCGGAGCAGGTCGTCGAAGTCTTGTCACTAACGCTGAAGTCGAGGCGCGGTCACTGGGTGGGCGCCCCACCTGTTCCAGGCTGGCACTCTATGGTTGTTGGAAGGAGCGCGGAGTGCAAGGGGCGCCTGCTTGGTGGCTTACACAGCAAACGGTCGCCGATGTCACCAGAAAGGGCGGATCCTGCACAGAGGCCGAATCAGCCTTGAGGATGGAAGGAGACTCACGGTAGCCCTGAGCTACGCGTCCCCCTTCAGCC